GAAAATTTTGACAATCGCAAAGATTGTTGATGTGTGTAATTTTTCGTTAAATAAAAGCTTAAAATGATGAATTGCAATCAACGACGGTAGATGTGTTCTTAAAATATTAATTTCACTGCAATTTGTAATATTTTATTCCGCATAAATCTGTGGTTATCGAAAATGTACTGCTATCAAAAAATATTTCATTTCACACAGCAGATTGGCAAAACTGTCTCACCATAGTAAAATTTATTATTCAGCAGCTCTGCCCATAGAACTTTGTTACCGATTCACACACGCCCTAATTCAAATATCTGAAATTACAGACTTTAACAATTTGTAAAGTATTTTTAGTTCGAAGTTATAAGTGCCATAGCAGCGAAATCGAAATATATGCACCTTATTTTGGTTTTAAACGATTTTTTCAGCGCTTAATCTTATAAAATTCTTTGTTTTTATGTTATGTAAAAACAACCTTACGTCAATAAATGCTCAACCTTAACAAAAATATGTAGCTCTTCATTTTAGCTACTATTAGTATTATTTAGCTTTTTTCGACCGTTTTAGCTTCAAACGAAATTTCTCTGGCAACACTGCGTAAATCATTCAAAATGCTTAACATTCATTAAATATACGAAATGTTATTTCTCGCTCAGCTCTGTTACTCCGCCGCTCTTATGTTCCACGGCAGTGTGGGCTGGTGTGGTGTGTACGCAATCAGATTTTGATAACTTTGGACAATTTACACTCTGATTCGTAATTGCTGCTTCTCTGTATTTAACGTTCTCTGGGTTAACTTTATGGCTGCATTTCTTTATTCATTCTGAACGTTTGGAATAAACTTTTTTGTTTACTTATTCTTTAGAACGTTCCTGATGATATGTTAACGTATATTTCAAACGCATTCTGTTTATTCCAGATGTGAAATGGAATTATTCGGAATGTATAGAGAAACGCAGCCTATATGTAAACGGATTGAAATGTGCAAACGCTGATTTTAAAATTGTCGGTACAAACGTCGCAATTAATCGCAATAGGATGACTTGTTATCGATACTTTTTTGACATCAGCCCCGCTGCGTGATATGTCAAATTTGCAGAAAATCTTCGAGCACTCGGCGCCATTTTTCTGCTTATAAACGGTTTTTGTGTTTTGCAATTTTGGATTGGGAGTAATTGTGATAAAAAATTAAAGAATTTGTGTAAGCGGAGCCATTGTTCATTTTGATACTAAAGTAAACTTTGCCAGATTCTGAGGTGCGACAGCATTTTGGTTGCACTGTTGCATGCATCGCATGTGCTGCAGGTTGCACGTATTTGTGAAATCTGAGCTCGTGAGTCGCAAACCCTGATATTTTGTTACATTACATTTCAATATTTCAGATAAATTTCGCCGTTAGTTGGGAAACAAAATGTTTGGGGGAACTAAACCCACGTTCGGCACCACTACTGCTGGTACTGGTTTTGGTGGCTTCAGCAGCACGACCACCTCTTCACCATTCGGCCAATCTGCGTTTGGAAAGCCGGCCACGTCCGCCTTCGGCGGTGCACCAGCTTTTGGAACACAACAGCAAACACCATCATTGTTTGGTGCAAGTACTGCCCAACCACAACCAACGGGCTTATTTGGCGCCGCAAACACTACTTCGGCCTTCGGGAGCACTACAACGGCACAACCTGCATTTGGAGGTGAGTTCTTTAAATACATGAATACTTATCTAGCTAATATATATACTTAATACCAAATTCCAGGTTTCCAGCAACCAACTCAAGGTGCATCGATGTTTGGGACTTCTCAACCCGCAGCCAATACAAACTCTCTTTTTGGACAGTCAACGACATCAGCATTTGGGTCCGCAGTAAAGCCCGGCACATTAGGTGGCTTTGGTCAGACTGCTGCACAACCAACATCTTCTTTGTTCGGACAGCCAGCAGCCGCCACTAACACCACTAGCTTTGGTTCCTTTGGACAGACCCAGCCTACTACGAGCAATGTGTTTGGTACTGGAGCTACCATGATGATGGGAGCCAATGCAGGCACGTCCATTGCAAAATATCAACCCACAATTGGCACAGATACACTCATGAAAGGTGGTCAACCAAATAATGTTAACACCAAACAACATTGTATAACAGCAATGAAAGAATATGAGGGCAAATCACTGGAAGAGTTACGTTTAGAAGATTATATGGCAAACCGGAAAGGACCACAAGCCGGCACCTCTGGCGCCAGTTCGGGATTCTTTGGCTCAACCACTCAACAAGCAGCCACAGGTACTGGACTATTCGGTGCAGCTGCCCAACCAACTACTGGACTTTTTGGTCAATCAGCGGCCGCGACAACGGAAAACAAAGGCCTATTTGGCGCTGGTGCTTTTGGACAACCTAATACTTCTGCGTTTGGTGCAACCACGCAACAGAACAGCTTTTTGGCCAAGCCATTTGGTGCTCCTGCTACTAGTGGCTTTGGTGCAGCGACAACAGACTCGTCAAATTTATTTGGCGCTAAACCAGCCTTCGGACAGACGCAACCAAGTTTGTTTGGACAAACCTCAACTGCAACCACAGCACCAGCATTTGGTCAGGCGGCCCCCGGTTTTGGCGGCTTTGGCGCGGCAGCTCCTGCGCAACAAACATCGCTCTTCGGAGCGCCAGCTGCCGATGCCAATAAACCGGCATTTGGGCTAGGTACATCATCAGCGGGAACCACTGGCTTTGGCGGTTTCGGTAACGCAGCGACAAGTACTGCGGGAACAGGACTATTCGGTTCGAAACCTGCCACAACTGGCTTCGGTGGGGCTCCTGCTTTTGGTGCAACTTCTACAGCTAATACCGGTTTTACAAATTTTTCGCTTGGGAACACCGGTGGAGGGCTCTTTAATTCATCGATTAAGCCGGCCACCTCTGGTTTTACTGGATTTGGAACACAAACTCCTACCGCACCAGTGAATTTCAATCCTGGTACTGCTGCGCCTTCGGTTTTTGGTAGTTCTGCTGCTAAGCCTGGCGGCATGTTTGGCTCGTCTCTCGGCCAAGGCGCTACAAACACCGCTGGCGGACTTTTTGGTGGCGGTGGGGCATTTGGTACAGGTGCCACACTTGGTGGAGGTTTCGGTTCGAGTACACTTGGGGGCGGTAATATGTCACTTGGTGGCCTTGGTGGCAGCCAACAACAGCAACCAGCACCGATTCATCAACAAATTCTGGCAAGAGTAACCTCACCATATGGCGATAATCCGATATTCAAAGATTTGAAGAGGACCGACGAAACAGATGCCACGCGCGCCACAAATCCTGCGGCACAAAAAGCCATTATGGAGTCAACAATGAGTCAATTTAAGGTATCCACCCGATCCAGTCCAAGCGTTGTTCGCGTGAAACTAATTACAAGCGCACTTACGAAAAAATCCCTCTTCGAAGGACTTGAGGATTTCGACTCGAGTGTGGGGACTTTCAGTTTAAAACCAAATGCGAAACGTCTAGTAATAAAACCCAAGCCGGCCAATACGATTATTGGCACTACCACGAATACCAGTCCTAATAGGCAACCTGGGCAGCAAGACTCATCATTAACAAACGTTGGGCAACGCCAAACAGGTGGTCTAGCACAATCGCCGGCTCCGTCGACACTACGTAACGAATCATTCTCGGGACAAATACCGCTTGATCCACCACCGTCACAGGTTGCTAAGTCCAGCGCAAACATTGCTGCTTCCACCGCGGCTCAAAGTGGGCGAGAGAGCGATATTGGCCGGCGTGAATCTTGGCTGCATCCCAATAACGTGGAGAAAATGCGTCAACAAAATATGAATAATAGTATCGATGGCGCTGTGCCGCTTAACAGTACACTATCGGAATTAGTGCCTCGCAAGCCTCTGGATACGTATCGCTCAACGGGCGCTGGTGCACCGGACACTCCAACCGGTCGACCTTCTGTCTCCACCGTGCAAGAGAATACGTTCGAGGAGCAAACTAGTCGCGAATCATCTCGCCGCGAAGCATCTGATCATCATGATGAAACGTTGTTCTCCAGTCGTTCATACGGTGGCGAAGAGCGCTCTATAATTGAAGAAACAACAGGGGATTACGAAGAACATCCCACCGGTATAACATTGAGACGAATCGGGTAAGATGATAGAACAAGTAGTTTTAGAACATAATTGCATAAATTACATTTCAGTTACTACACAATTCCTTCATTGGACGATCTTAAATCATATCTTGCCGAGGACGGCTCGTGTATTGTACCCAATTTCACTGTAGGACGCGAGGGCTATGGTAATGTTTACTTCGGAAAAGAGATGGACGTGGCTGGATTGAACTTGGATGAAATAGGTATCTTATAAAGTGAAAGTCTTCATAAAATTTGTCTAAAATCAAAAACAAACCCAAAAATGTTTTGCAGTACATTTTCGTAATAAGGAAATTATCATCTATCCCGACGATGATAATAAACCGGCAGTTGGCAGTGGTTTGAACCGTGAAGCGCAAGTAACGTTGGATCAAGTTTGGCCGCACGACAAAACCAAGCACGAACCTATTAAGGATCCTGCACGTTTGGCTGATATGGATTGGGAAGGAAAATTGCGACGAGTTTGTGACAAAAATGATACACGCTTCATTGAATATCGTCCGGAGACGGGAAGTTGGGTATTCCGCGTAAAGCATTTCTCTAAATATGGCCTCAATGACAGTGATGAGGAGGACGAAGCTGTGCCAACTGATCCGAAAAAAAGCAAAAATGGGCATGACTGGGGCACTAGGTGCCACAGCAGTGGGGGGTGGCCAGAGCGCAATGACCAACGCAACTGCGTCGGATAAAATAACGATGACTGCATTGAAAAATGCTCAAAAGGTGAGTTTAAACTCCAAATATATAAATTCTGAAATTTGTATAAATAAAAATTCTCTGGGGCGGTAATGAAAGATCTCTGAAGATGCTGCTCGAGCGCTCGATCCAAAAATCCTCGCAGGGGGAGCGGCACATTTTTTACCAATGGATGAATCTGCAGATTTCATGCTAATGGATAAGACACGTAAGCACCGCTTTTTTAAGAATCATGTTCTCTATTAATACATTGGTTTTTCACTCTAGAATTTCTACAGGCCAATGGAAATGACTACTCCCTATACGAGCAACAACAAATTTCACGTGTGACCAGTCCAACTGCCTTTTTAGCTCGAGAGGTTGGCACTGATTCTCATAAACTGCAGTTAATGAAGGCTTCATTCTTTGGTGACGATGACTTTGACAATAAATCAGTTACCACTGTTGAAGAATTTGAAAAGAATAATTATTACAATCGCAATCAAAGTCGCCGTGCTGGTTCATTTGCCAAAAGAGTTCAAGACGTGCACACTTCCTCGCAATCGCTCTGGAAGGAGCCTGGCCACGGTGCTGCTCTTTCGGACGCATCGAGTCAACTAGATTTTGTTGTGCAGGCGTCACCTCTGCCGCCCTCATCTTCTGCTTCAGTTATGAGCATATTGCGAGAAATTGACACTGAGGTGCTTAGTTCAGTTTTACTAATAGCTATAATAAAAAAATAATAATAACGTAAATCTATTAAATCTACAGGCATCCACTCCGGCACCTGTCGGCGATGCGGCAGCTGTGGCACAACTCTCCAAAATACCACAATTCTCTATAAAGCCGAAAGTGGCCGGCGTTAAGGTGGTAGCACACCAGGTGCCAATTACAAAGTCGTTGGCTTTTAATTTAAAGGGTAGGTGGGCAGCAGATTTGGGATTATATAATTTTCGCCGTTTCAAGCCGACTTTTGGGCCGCAGAATACTGTAATCGTACCATCCACACGCAAAAATGTCGACCATGAAGTGCAAAGTACGTCAACACATTTTCAAAGAATATTATATTTTTAGTATTATTTGTCTTATTTCTTTAAGATGAACATCTCTTCGATGTATCGGCTTACATATTTAAAGGCCGAGCCGCAAATGATTACACCGCCACCATACTACAACACGTAAAAATATCTTCAGTAATGCATTATGAACACTTCAAGGAGAGTATTGTAACTCACTTGGAACTGCAATTGCGTAATTCATTGCAAGAAGACGTTGAAGGTAGTGAATGTCCTTGGATAAAGTCCGACAACGGCACCGATTTGATTGTGAAGCATCTGGATGAAGCCATCAAGCAAATTAATCTTGGCCCATTGGAGGAATATGCGGTCTCTGTGTGGTCGCTTTGCTTGGCTTTGTGGGGCGATCATGAAGAGCTTGAGGGGCGTGAGCCAACGTCACACTTCACAATAATGTGCCGCCGAAATTTACTTTCTGAGTGGATGGAGAATACCTTGACCGATAAAGACTTGTTAACGAAGAATGTCTCCAAGCACACCTATCTGGATCATTTGTTAGAACTTGTGATGTGCCACAAGGTGACGGAAGCTTGCGAGTTGGCCTTTCGATATGACGACGCGAATCTGGCACTGTTGCTGTCACAACTTTCTTCGGGGCCCACCGTGCGTCAACTTTTAGAAGACCAGTTGGCTGCTTGGCATAAGGATGAAGCTGATAAATTTATACAATTGGAGCGCTTAAAGCTATATATGCTGGTCGCCGGAGTTGCGCTTATGGACTCGGGGCATGGTCCCATCAATACCTTAGATGGCATTGAATGGACAAAAGTGCTAGCAGTAAGTGCATGTCGGATACTTTTTTCTGAAGCACCAAATGTTTGTAATTCTGTTTCTACGTTTTGCAGCTTCAACTATGGTACCTTTCGTCGCCCACTGCATCTATTACCGATGCGCTATTAGCCTATGAAAAATCTTTTAAATCCGAAGAATTCTACTCTTTGCCACCAACACCCTGCTATATGGATAAGACGTGTCTGAATGAAAAGTATGCGCTCTACGACTTGCGCTACCATTTGCTGCAGTTGTTCTCCAAACGTAGTCATCCGCTGGAGAGTTTGCTTAATCCAGCAACTCATACAGCTGATCCGATGGATTATCGCTTGAGGTGCAACAGGCTACCAACTTCTTTTTGAAAATATTTTATACAAATTCCTAACCTATTTAATTTGGATTCTAGTTGGCTTCTGCTTCAAACATTGGAGGCAATTGGATACCGACACTGCTCAATTTTAAGTGAAAGCCAATTGCATGTGGGCTTTGCAAGTCAGTTAGAAAATTACGATCTATGGGAATGGGCTACATTCGTTCTTTTGCATATAAAAGACCGTAATCAAAGAGAGTTGTCAGTGCAAAATATGCTCTATCGTTATGTTAGTGTTTCAAAAGATGTTTCATTGTCGGAGAAGGAAAAGTTTGTAATAAATAATTTGGGAGTACCGGAGAAATGGATTGATTATGCGAAGGCAGTGAAGGCGGGCGCCATTGGCAATCATCATTTGCAAGCGAAATACCTGTTAAAGGCAAAGCAGTGGGCATTGGCACATGAAGTTATATTCCAGCACATTGCACCCGATGCAATCATTAATGGTAAGTGCGAGCGTAAATACCGCCACGACAGGCCACAGAAAATCTATTGAACCTATTCTCTTCTTCACGCAGATAATCTCGACTATTTGCACAAATTGCTGAGTCAGTTCGAGGGTGCCGAGGCCAACAAAACCATAAAAGTACCGAATTGGTCTAATCAAGGACAAATATTCTTAGACTTTATCGATATCAACGAAAAAGTAATTCAGAACACTCAAATATACAAAATATGTTTAAATATGCAATAGTTGTACCTACTAGTAATTCTATTTACTCTTTTTTTGCACCTCTAGTTCAAGAGCTTAAAGACACTCAAGACCGAGGCGGATATAGAAGCACGCTGGGAGAATTTGAAGCCACAATTGGCTGACTTATGTTCCCGCATTAATTTGTTGCCCTGCCCCACGGCTAAACATCGCCTGTGTCAAAGTGAAATCGCGCAAAATTTGGCTTGCCTAGTGCGCGGTGTATTGCTCGTCTGTCCAGTGTTGAATCCGTGTTTGATCATAAAAATTGCACTGGAACGTCTGCCATTGCCACAAGAATTCGCGCAACAAGAGCTGCGGGCGCTGCTCGACACGCTGGTCGATGACTTGGCCAAAGTGAACACGAGCGAAAATAATGAAATAATCATGGCAAAATGACATTGAATATGCGTTGTATTAAAGTAAAAAAAAAAATAGTTATTGTTTATTTTAGGGAAAAACAGGATTAGAATGAAAGCAGTTTTGAGTTGTAAATTTAAGATAACTGCACTAAGGTGATCTACAAAACTTATTACTGGCAAATATTAAAGTCCATTACTTCTAAGTCAGAGTAGATTATTAGTTCATGTAAACTGAATTAGCTTTTGGACAATATCTCTAAATTCTAAGTTCTTTGTATACTTGTCTGCACGATAGTTCCACCTACCGGGCACTCCTAATTACTTTGGTTTAGATGTAAATGACTTCTTTACTTGCATGAATATGTTCTTGAAGGTGCCGTTTGAATCTTATAAAGTGAGAATAAAAATTGAGCCTCTGGTCTTTCATCTTTAGTCATTAACGTTAACGTTTAATGTAAGAATTCATTTCGTTTATTTTTTTATTGAAAAATGCATATTTCCGTAAAAATCTGTTATGGTCCACCGCAATTCGTACAATTTGTTTACTTTTGAATATAGTTTAGTGTAAAATTTCAATATAACTAATAAAAATTATAATCACCGTTCACATTATTTTTATTTATTCGTTTTATTTTATGCAAAGCGACAGTTCGCAAAATATTTTATTAAACTTTTGATGATAAAGTCAGTATTACTCGCCACTGTAGACGATATTAAAATACGGTTAGACCCAAGGCGAATTTATATAAGGTGATAGCAGGAGTACAAATACAAAAATTTACATGTATTTTGTTTTTGCTTTGGCGGCATAAACTGTCAAAATGTGTAAGAGTGTGTGTAGAAATTCAAACAAAATTTTTCAATTTGATATCAGAAGCCGTACCGCACGTGCGGTGAAACACATACACAAAATCAGCTGAGCAAGTAACACCACCTTATATAAGATCTGATCCAATACTTTTCGTGAAAAATCTTATAAAACTGTTAAACAGCAAAATTACTCTCTGAAGTGAGAGTGAGAACAAAAAGTACGGGAACAAAAAAACCATTTTACCTGTAAAAACGTCAACCAGCGATTGCTTGACACTTCATGATTTTACCAGAAGAAAAAGTTTGGGTAAAACTTTGCAACTTCATTCTCTACACAACTCTCCAAAAGTCGCTCTCATATACAGGATTTCGGAGTACGGGAACATTTTTCCTGCAAGTTCGTGTAAAATCCTGTAAGTTCATGGAGTACTGGATCACATACAATGTTCTGACCGACAATGAAAACACATAGGGGCAATTTGGCAAATCCCTTTTCATAACACTACAAACCTCGATCCATTTTTTCCTTCATACGGTAATTGCGGGAACTACAAAAACTTGATATTGCTTTGCTTGCAGAGGACAACGGAATTTTCGCAGCCTTTAAAGCAGCAACTCATTTTTCTTTAAATTTTTAAATTTTTCCCACATTTGAATAAAAAAAATTTCAAATCATAAAATTTCATTTGTTTATTTTGAATTTATTTGACATCATTTGAATCATTTCGAGAGAGTTTAATCAAAATGCTAGCAAAACTCAAAAAAAAAAAACCAAATGGCGGACGAGTTCAGCGAGCGGTTTTACCTTTAAATATTTGTATCATGCTATATAAAATTGACATGTCCATATAAAATTTTTTTTAAAGTTTGCAAGCATTAAAATTACGATCTTAAAAACAATTGAGCTTATACTAGAATAAAAACTGGACGGATAGATTTGTGCTGACAAAAGTAAACAATAATAAATGGAATGAAAATTAGTTTTTGAAAATACATACATACATATGTACATATATTAAATCGATACAAACTTACACTCTAATTAACTTTCGTCGAACACACAAAAAAAGTAGTTCCTATTGATACGCATTAATTGTAGTGATATGTCAAATCTTAAGGCACTGTATTCCATTTATGTTCCATATATAAGTAGGTTATTAAAAATATTTCAAGTTAGCATAGTTTTTTAGAATACTAAAATACAAAATATACGGAATGTTAAGTTTCGCGTCATATACGATGCTCCTAATATGCATGTGCATGTATAAGTAAATCTAAAATGCTTGGACGGTATACATTTGCACTGATATGGTCGTAGTTCGAAGTTGCGAAAATATATTAAAAGTACTTATGGTTGCTTATCAACGTCCTTTTAGCATTTTATCCAACAGGCATAGTAGAGACGGTGCTGTGGGGTGTTGTTGGACGTGAACCGGCTAAAGAATTAGCAGCTGATGCATGCAAAGAAGCCATTGTGCCCATCTGTAATAAAACAAATCATTATATTCGTGTTTGATGTTTCAATGCATATATTTAGCTTACCCGCAAATGTGCTAAATCCTCTAATTTCGTCAAGTTAGTTAATTCAAGGAATAACGAGTATACCACACACCAACCGTAGAAGCAAACAACTAATGCGATGCTCCAAAGTAGTACCATAATAATGTTGTAAGCAAAGATCAAATCGTTGACTATGGCAAAGAAAATCAAGGCCAACGAACGCCAAATTGTGAATACGGCAAAAGTATTTAACCATGGAAGTATCTTGCGCTCATATTCCTGCGGGAAACAAAGTTCTTAGTAAATAATATATATCGAAAACCATCGCAAAAATATAAAAGTTATTAAATAACGCGTGAAAATAATTCAGAAAGTGTTTGAAAAACATTATTCAAAATTAGTGTGTCGTACCGGTATGAAAACGAAACGCTTTCGCTTTTTCCCTTTTTTAAGTAGCTTGTGGAGTAAGGTGAATGTTAGTAAATGAAGTGAAATCAAAAGAAATCGTATGATAAAGTAGATTGAGTGAATGGTGATGATAAGAGAGAAATCAATATATAAAGCCAAGATGTGCTTGAATGCATTTTGATCATAACTTGTTAAAAATAATACCATGCCTAATATTTTTACTTACCTTCCTTAGCGCAATTACGAGCAAAATACTTGTAAATAGTATGACAACGCCCAGTATTAGCGAGAATAACGCAAATACAATTAGCATATTTCGCACTAAAATAGGAAAACAATTAAAGCTAAATATGTATATGAATTTGGTTTAACATTTTACAAACCGTGCTTATTGCCCACATAAACAAACTCGTATGAGATGATATAGTATCCATAGTGCGTGGAGCCAGGCGCAGCCATGGCTAAGCAATAAATATCGAATATAGAAGTACCAATGGTGAATAGAGCTAGGAACTAAATCGAAATACATGTAATTTATTAAAAAATTTAAAATTATTTGATAAACCCACAATGGAGAATATGCCAATCATCATTGAATTCTTTTGTATGTCGATGTATTGATTGTTCTTTAGTATAGGGCGCTGGTACCAAGGAACACGCACGGAGCGCATTGAACGGGATTTAATGGAATGCAAATTTGTTGAGGACCTTAAAGCATAATTATGAAAGTTATATATGTATATTTGTTGACCTCTGTAATAGTTTTCAGATTCCTACTAACCTGCCCGTTGTATGGGAGTATACCGAGTGGTTTGAGCGATACGTGGATGGTGTTTTGCGGCCATAGTTCATATTGAAGCCGTAATAATGTAGTTGCACTGCTTTTCTTAAAAATTTTGTTTAAAATTGATGGAGCGGAAAATGTGTGGCTGCAAACGAAAAAAAGTGTTTATTTATTAGTTGTAAAATAGTTACTAGTTGTTTGGTGATTAACTTTGGGCGTCACCCCCCGAGTTTGTGTGAAGATGGTAAGCAGAATAAACACTGTTGACTACTTGTTTCCTAGTAATTTATTCGTACATCTTTTATTCCTATAATATTTGAGCTTGCACACTGCTCACACAATATTTTTGTAATAATAACACAATTTATTGCAAATAAAATAAGTAATCCAAACAAAACAATGCCGTTGTTGAAAAATGCGCTGTCCGAAGTGTGAATAATCTCGTTTTGACAAGTGCCAAATAAAAGTTGTTATCGTAATCGATTTTTTTAAAGCTACTTGCGGTAGTGTTGTTCAATTTTCTTACCAGAATGGGCGCGTTCATAAGACCAAAGAACGTACACCTACATTTACGTTCTTCGTTATATTAAAAATTATCTTTCAACATTTATCTGTCTTATCTCATCGACCATTTCCAATTAGATCCAAAGTTTTGCCTTCGTCCGGTTTTCAGAATAGTGGCAGCACTCTCGCACAGCTGATCGCATAGAAAACATTTCAATTTCCTCGGTTCTATTTTTTCGTTTTCATTCCTTCGCACATATTTTTTGTTCACGAATTGGCCAAAATAAATGGAATAAGTGAATCTAAGTGAAGTGCAACAAAGGTTAGATAGCCCCAGACGTTTGCGATAATCTTATAGATCCAACATGTCTCTGCCCCGCATCACTGACTACGATCTGCTGGACAAGCTCGGTGTAGGCAGCTATTCAACTGTATACAAGGCTCGCCACAAGAAGGACCGCAGCTACCATGCTATCAAGATTGTAGAAATGTCGACTCTTTCGAACAGTTCCCGTGAAAATCTTATCACCGAAATCCGACTTCTGCGCTCTCTCAACCATAAGTATATTGTGACACTACAGGACTTCTTTTGGGACGATAAGTGAGTGACCTACATACTTACTAATTGATGTTCATGTATGACTGCTATTTTACCACCGCAGAAATATTTACATTGTTCTTGAGTTCTGCAATGCTGGCAATCTATCAGCATTCATTCGTTCCAAAAAAGCGTTACCGGAGTCCACTTGCCGGTATTTCCTACGTCAATTGGCGGCTGCTGTGCAGTATATGCGTGCCAATGATGTTTGCCACTTTGACTTGAAACCTCAAAATTTGTTGTTGACACGTAACTCCAATGTAGTATTGAAGGTTGCGGATTTCGGGTAAGCGCTAATATACACAATTTTTCTATTACATGATTGCGCCAACATTCCCTTTACAGTTTTGCGCAACATTTGAAGTTAGGCGAGATAAATCAACAGCTAAAAGGGTCTCCTCTCTATATGGCACCGGAAATTGTTCGCAAACATCAATACGATGCGAAAGCCGATTTGTGGAGCATCGGTATAATCTTATATGAATGCTTATTCGGCAAAGCACCGTACACATCAAAAAGTATTGAAGAACTGTTACAGCGGATACGTAGCGCGGAGAAAATTACGATACCAGCGAATGCAAGTATTAGCAATGAGTGTCAAGATCTACTCTGCCGTTTACTGGAACACGATCCGGCCAAGCGTATTTCATTTGATTCTTTTTTCAAACATCCATTTATAGACCTTAAAACGCTACCAACAGAACAGGTGTGCTTTAATTTTTTGGTGTTAGTTTACAAAAAAAATATTTTTTTTTCCTTAGACCTTACACAAAGCAGCAGAACTTGTCACCAAAGCTGTCGAATATGACGAAAAGCAAAATTACAAAGAGGCTTATTATCTATATTGTAGTGCGCTACAATATTTTGTGCCACTAATTACTGAGGAAGCAGATGCTAGCAAGCGATTGACGTTACGCAATCGTGCACTTACCTACCTCAAACGCGCCGAAGAAATCAAAAATGTTCTAATCGATACTGAATATAAGGCCGCAGCGGTAAAAGACCAGCAAAAAACCGGCGAGCAAAAGCCAAGCACCTCAACACCACATTCCACACAACAGCCGCAAGCTAACATAGCCGAAGTGTTAGAGCCGGATGTGCGTTACAAGCAGCTATGTAAGTTGCTTGTTACAAGTAAAACACTTAGTATGTATGCAACTTATTGCTGTTTTTTTTGTTATTTGAATTAGTTGCTCTATCACACTCGAGTCCGCAATTGAAAAGTGCTCTAGAAATTGGACGCCAAGGTGAGCTTTACTTATACGAAAGAAAATTTAGAGCAGCACTGGATGCGTACACTTCAGCCTTGGGTATGTTGGTACCCTTTACAAATAACGAACCAAAGGGCGAGCGTAGAAACTTACTTTTACAACAGGTTTGTCTTTGACAGAAAATTAAATAAAAATATGCCTTATGTGGTACATTTACAGTTGGAGATTTGGATGAAAGAAGCTGAAAGCATTAAAAGCATTTTATCTGCCAAAGAAATGGTAGATGAACAAAAATTACCATCGGTGCGCCATTGTTCAATACAGTAGTATACACATAGAAAATTCCATGTCGATTTTTTTTTTTTGGAATAAGACGTGTTATACTAGCCGCTGCAAGTTAAAACATGCGAATTGATATTGATTAAATCAAATTTAATTAGTGTTCTCGCTTTTTTGGTAGCTTTATATAAACTTAAAATGTGTTTACATACATATAAGTAGATATGTATATGAATGTGAAAATAGAAAAGTAGACATGTGCTATTTGCACTAGTAAAGGGAAATACAAGTAGATACTTCAATAACGTTTTTTTAACCATGCCAAGCAATAAGGAGCAAGTACATGAAAAGTATATATTATACTAATAACTTATATACATACATATATTCATACCTACTTGAAAATATGAGTATAATTTATATAGACAATTCAAAATGCATCTTATACTGTGATGTAGTAGAGCAAATGCAAATACATATACTCACATACATACCTATGTATAATGAAAAGTATACTTTTGTAATTGTTGATCTCTTTTATGTAGAGTTTCCGTGTAACACGTATCGATATTTATTTACTAAATGCTGAGTTTTACTTGTCAATGTTCCGCTAATGATTTCTAAATAATTTGTGATGTTTAATTTTGTAATATAAAATGAATAACTATTATATTATATTTTTTATGCTTGTTTTTAATCAGTTTTTATTTGCTTATTTTTTTGTTTATTTATTAGCTAAGCTGTTTCAACAACTCATTCCATTCAAGTCAACAACAACCACAATGGTTTTCATACGCATACAAGTTTTTAACTTTCGCTACATTTTTAATTGTACTTTTTATTGTTTATGTACACAAACTAGGCTATACAAATATATTTATGCTTTTATTAAAGTAATATTTAAATACATTAAATTTCAAATAAATATAGTCTCATTCATACAAAGCTTAATGTTTGACCTTTTTTAGTGAACTAAAAACGTAAACATAAAATACTTTCAAAACTAGGTATATACATTTGGTCAACCGAGATTCAGGGGGCCCTCGATTGCGGTGAATCAGTGCTCTGCGCCTTTCTCGATATAGAGGGAGCGTTCGACAACACGTCACACTCTGGAGTGCGCAGGGCATTGGAGTCCGAGAAACGTGCAGCCAGCGATCTGCAATTGGGTGGATGCGCTCCTGCGTACAAGGATTGCTGAAACCGAGGTAGGGGACAACGTGGTACAACTTCAGACAACAAAGGGTTGCCCGCAGGTAGGGGTCTTATCACCCCTTCTGTGGAGCTCAGTGGTGAATGGACTCCATCAACTTCTCTCTGACAATGGTATCCGCTGCCAAGGCTATGCGAATGATACAGTAATAATGGCCAGGGGGAAGTTTGAGAGCACCCTCTGCGACATCATTCAAAGAGGCTTAAAACTGACGAAGGGATGTTGCGATAAGTTAGGGCTTATCATAAATCCCGCCAAAACCGCTATCATTTCTTTTACTAGGAAAAGAGCCCTTCCGGGCATGAGGAACATAACCGTGGAGGGGGTCGTGGTTAGCGTCGCCAGCGAAGTGAAGTATCTGGGACTAGTCCTAGAGACCAAACTTCAATGGAAGAAACATGTGGACGCGATCATCTCCAGGGCCACGAAAGCTTTAATGGTGTGTAAGCGTCTGGCGGGAAAATCCTGGGGTTGTACGCCCAGAATCCTAAGATGGCTTTGCATTATGATAGTACAGCCAATGATCACTTATGGGGCGGTAGCTTGGGTTTCAAGAACTACTCTAGCCACGGTGAGACAATCGCTCACCTAACTACAACGACTGGCATGTGTTTGTATAACAGGAGCGATGCGCACATGTCCGACGACGGCGCCGGAAGTATTCCTTGAACTCGAGGCTCTTCATATAACCATAGAGCAGGCAGCCAAAAGAACTCTGCTTAACACTGCGAGAGAGGGATTTGGTAAAGGTAAAGTCATTTCCTCTAGGAGTATGGAGCTAGCTAGGATCCTCGCTCCCACTAGTCCTGTTACCTAGAGATGACATAGGAAAGACAAGAGTTTTTGAGAAGAAATTCAAAATATAGCTTTGCAGTAAAGCGACCTGGAGTGTCTCCGCTTTCGAGACATTACGTCAGGGTTGCACTTTGCACTGGTACACGGATGGCTCGAGGACCCCAAAAGGAACCGGTACTGGAATTGTTGGACCCAGGGCCAGGATTTCTGTTGCTATGGAGAAATATCCGAGCATCTTTCAAGCAGAAGTTTACGCTATCTACCTGAGTGCGGATACAATCATGGGTAGAGGGTATAGAAACGAGAGAATCTTAATCCTATTCGATAGGAAGGCAGCACCCAAGGCCCTCATATCCTATGAGGTCAAACACAATACCATCAAGTTAGCGTGGGTACTTGGTCACAAGGGAGTAGAGGGTATCGAGGCGGCTGACTGTCTCGCAAGAGAGGCGGCAGCCACTACCCCAGTTGGTCCTGAGCCCTTCCTAGGAGTGGGTCCCAACACTCTCACTATGAGGGATCTAAACTGGCAAAGTTCGTCAGGAATGCGTCAGGCAAAGAGTTTACTGGGAGGTTATAACAAAGCTTAATTGACCTCCCAAAAGGGCAGCTTAGAATAATAAAAGGTATCCTCGCAGGACACTGCAGGCTGAGAGGGTATCTACATAAGCTGGGGATATGGACGAGTGACCTTTGTCGGTTTTGCGACTCTACCAGTGAGACACCTCTACACATCCTCACCGAATGTGATGCAGTCTGCAGAAGTCGTGAGAGAAGTTTAGGTTCAATGTGGCCACAGATTAGGCACATTCTTTCCCTATCCCCTAAGGTACTGTTAAATTTTCTCAGGGAATTAGATTTGGAGGAAGTATTGTGAAGAGTGGAGGGCGCAATAGACCACTAGGTCGCGGTGCAAACCTCATTTTATTATCTATCTATCTTGGTCAAACGTTGGACGGTGTTTGGAAAATTTAATTCAAGTCAGTTCAAGTTCGTTGTCTTCAACAAGTTAAGTGTCCTGGTAACCATATTAGTTCAAACTTGTTGACTTTTTGAACCAAATTCTGATGAAGCGGCTCTTGGAGTTTTCGAGAGAAAGAGTCTGCGAAAGATTTACGGACCCTTACGCGTTGGCGACGGCAAGTACCGCATACGATGGAACGCAGAGCTGTATGAGCTTTACAACGACATGGACATAGTGCAGCGAATTAAAATACAGCGGCTCCGCTGGCTTGGTCATGTCGTTCGAATGGACAGAAACGCTCCTGCTCTGAAAGTATATAACGCGGACCGCGGTGCTGGTGACAGAGGAAAGGGAGGCTTCCTCTGCGTTGGAACGACCAGGTGGAGAAGAATTTGGCTTCACTTGGCATTTCCAATCGGCGCCAGTTGGCACAGAAGAGAAAGGACTGGCGTGTTTTGTTGAACTCGATCAAAATCACGTAGGCGGTTACACCGCTAATAAAGAAGATGTTACATTAGGGCTGCCAAAAGTTCCGGGCTTTCCTGGATTTGTTCTGATTTAGACAAATTGTCCTGGAGTCCTGGTCCACAATTAAATTGTCCTGGTTTTTTAATGAAGGTCAATGCAGACACTCCTCTAATTTATAGCAGATTTTGCTATGAAAAAAAGGGTGAAGCTTTCTGTCAAATTGATAACGAAACGTTTTTCCAAACATGTTGAATATCTGGAGAGCTTACTTTCTTTCTGTTTAGTTTATTTGGTTAAAATCTCTTTTTTTCAGGCAAATGCAAAAAAAGTGAAAGTTTCTGATCAGGTACACGACTGAAGGGTCATACATAGATACTTCTCGGAAGGTAATTTTAGGAGCTAAAATCTCATCAAAAAGGCCTTTCTTTCCTTTCTCCTTCATTTTTTGTATGGAGTGGGACAAATTGAAGGGCTTCTGCTTTCACTACTCAAAAAAGAGCTTTCAGAAGGGCTTTTGCAGTACGCCTTCTGAAGAAGTTCTTTTAAAGTTTTTTTCTTAATTCATAAAAATCATACTTCTTTAAAGAATTTATTTAAGGTTCATATCAAACAGTTTTATTTAGACATTAAATGCTAGTAATATAAACATTTACTTAAGTACATTCGCGTAAATTGTAAATAGAAAACACCTTTCTAGGAAGTATGCAGGGAAGCACTTTTTTCAGTCCTTGTTGGATAATAGCATGGGCCGAAAATCCGCTTTTTAAGAATTTTGATTGGTAATAGCAAAAATATGGTTCATTATGCTCTAAAAAATATCTGTGTGAAAATTTTTGGTCAATATCCTAGGCTCGCCCAAGTCCATCAAAGTTCAAGTAATAAAAAAATTTTTTTTCTTACCTAACTTCGATTCTCTACAAAAAAGGTCCATATACCAAATTATGTAGGACTAATACTTTGATTTTGCACTCGTGCCGGGCCGGGCCTGAAAATTTAGGCCCGTGCCCATCTCTAGCCTAAACTGACAAATTTTGACAGGTTTTTTACGCGGCTCGTTAACTTACAAGATTTATGAGTTTAAGGGAATAACCCTAGTGTATCTTCTGAGACATTTTTCTGACCCTAAAAGGCGTTCCTTCAATCCAAGTTCTTTGCAACAAGGGCGGCCATGAATAACGAGACTGGCAAATTATGCCCTTCGCACATTTCAAAAAATGATTCCAAATTAAGCTTCTTTACAAAAAATGCGAATCTTATGATTATGCTTACATACCATACATAAACCTTCATATCGTCGATGCCTTTGCAAAACCGACCATCGACCAATTGCAAAACCGCCTAATTCGCCGTTGTGGCAAAAATGAGACTTGATAACCCTGAACTCCAGGCATTGACATTTCTGCATAAAAATCGTAAAAACGTTGTTAAGACAACAGATTTGTAAAATACCGCCTATCAAGTCAATGCTTTAATAGAGAAACAGTTTTTTCGCTCTCCCGTAAAGTTTGAATGCCGCAAGATAGGCTGTGTATAAAATTGATCGATGTGCAGTTTTCCAAAGGCATCGATGACATGTACATACATATGTACATATACATATATGGATTTCTTGACCAATTACATACTTATATAATAGTAAATAATAACCGTAAGGTGAGCTGTAAACCTATTTAGTTCAAGTACTCATATAAAAACATACATACATACATACATACTTATATGTATACGCACATACATACCTTTTTCAGAGCTCAATTATTGCACTGATTGCCACTTACGAGATATAGTAATTTATTTCCATCAGATATCTTATCTATGATTTCACGCGATTTGGCATTTACATTTATGCAGTTCTTTTGGCAAAACCCACGGCGTTTGGGTGTTATCTTATTTATCAATGGACATACAAATTTAACGTACGTCAGTATTGAAATCCTTTAATATTTACAATAGTCTAATTCCGTATTATTGTTCCAAGCGGCTGAGTTTATAAGTAGACGTTGCGTCTTTGATATAGTTCAGTCTTACTAATCCGACCGCCGTAATGTGGACTAAGTACGCGCTATTATTGCTCGGTTTGGCTAGCGTGGCTCATTGCTACCCTCAAGGACGTGTTGTCAATGGCACTGCTACTACGGTGGAACAATTTCCATATATCGTGCGTTGATCGAAGGCCGTTTGGAGGCCGTGTGGAGAGCAATACAATTTAAATTCGATGTTTGCTTTGTTTCTTCAAGGTATCCCTGCGCGGTTCAACCGGCTCGCATTCCTGCGGCGCCAGCATTATCGCACCACGTTGGATACTCACGGCAGCGCATTGCGTTTCTGGCGCAACAGCTAGTCGGATCAGCATACAATTCGCTTCGACAGTGCTTGATGCTAAAAGCACGAATGTGGCGAAGGTGAAGCGGATCGTGGTGCACGAAAACTATTCATCCTGGTACATTATAAATGATATTGCCCTGTTGGAGTTGAATGGTCAGTTGGTGTACAATTACAAAACTATTGCGC